AGTGCCACCCTACTTTGAAACAGCCAAGCGTAGCCGGGTATGCAAGTTAGTAGTAGATAAAGCAAGCACAGATTTTCACTTGCATGAAGTTGCACGTTTTAATGACAAAACAACTGGAACAATTAAATGAAGATGTAGAATCTAGATCACAACAACATTGAAAATTGAAGAAGATAGGATATAAGATAGAAGAATTTGATGGACAAACTCACAAACAACACAACAACGAAAGGAGAATTTACAGAAGTCCAAAGATTCATAAAGTTTGAGTGTGAATTTACCACCGAAGCTAAGCATAGCACAATCAAAAATGTTCTAACACTTTTAGTGAGACATTTGGGACAACTTCATCAATTACATTGAGCTGTTTCTTATAGAACCAAAGCTAACTTCTGAGCTGTTGACAAAAACAACGAGGCGTTTAATTTAAGATCAATAGAACACGAAGAATATTTCGAACACATTTGTAACCTTTTTGTTCTAAGCACAATGTAATTAAAGATAATCTGAATAGACCTGAACCATTATGCACAAAGGTCAAAAACATCTATAAGACTTTATGATAAAGTTCTAACACAAATACTGATACAGATAACGAAACCTTCTAGCAGTTAGAAGACATACTATACATATAAGGCTTCTACTTGATAGTAATTTTACAGGTTATGTTGGTATAGTATAACAGAATATGCATTGCACAGAGAACTTCATGTAGTCCACAAACTGTAGATTTAATATTAGCATACATGAACGAACAGAGCAATACTACCTCGAGGAGCACGAAATTTGTTTTCAATAACACCTACTGCTGCATATATGATGTATCAAATGTATCCAGAAAAAAATGAATTCAGAGTTTCTAATAATGTTAGTTGTAGTTTCTGATATATGCATATCATCCCACATTGATAATAAAAGAAAACTGACAGTAATGACTGAGGCTAACTTTTCAGATTGAACATGCAGACCTAAAGACAGTAATTGTTCTGTTTAAAAAAAACAGCGTCTGCAGTTTCGGAATTATAAGAAACTCTATATCGAGATACAACATGCCCAAGCATATAATTTTACCTTCTACCTAATAGCTCCTGTCTGGGAACCTATGGAACTTGTTCACCGTTAGTATAAAAGAAGAATGCGGATCTGCCATATAAATAGAGACACAGGGTGGGAGGAAAGGGTCATTGGAATGTTATGTCGTTCTTCAAAAGGCATCATATTAATT